GGAGTCAGTTTTTGCTACATGATATTGAATAGCTTCAGGAGCATTTCGAAAAGAAGCTGGTGAAGGTTGTGGGCAAAGTAGCTGGCAGAGACGCTTGTCCAACCAGGTCCATTCATTGATGTGCTGGCACAGGCGAGCAGAGAATGGCCGTGCTGAAAGTATGCACCTCCAGCCTGGAATACTCATGCAGAGATTTACCAAATCGGAGGCATTAAGGAATTCGCATATCTTTAATCTCAGGTCCGGTGGAAGATTGGTTATTTTACGTGGTGAGCTGTTTTGTGCCTAAGTTGCTAAGAAAGTGTGCATGCGGTAATGATAAAAAATCAGATAAACTAAGCATGATGAAAAGAAAATAAGCGAATACGTAGAGAGGAATGAAGATAAATAAATGCAAGGAAATGAATAGAGACTCCTGGAACCTACCATTGCCGAGAGTTGCTAGCATAGACTGACTGCGTGACACAGATGTCGAGGTTTAAGTAATTAGCGTCATAAGAGGGAGTTAATTTGACCTCATCGTGATGTTAACACATTGGTTCACTCCTTATTGCAGAGTTTGAATGATTTGTATTCAAGATGCTTGCCTATGTGCCCTTTGCCCAAAGGTAAAGAATGCAATACAAGAAGAAGAGAACTTACAATCTCCTATGCACAGCCAACTACGTAAATGGACTGCAAATAATTCCTAAGGTAGTTGTTGCGTGAGAAAAGAGTCACTTTTTCGAAAAACGATGGTTTTATGCACTAGCTGGGCTGTCTTCAAGCACAGGAAATACTATCCTGTAAAACGTAATATTGTTTTGAGGAGCCGAGTTCATAAGAAGCCTGCTCTTAACTGTGGCAAAGTGAACAATTTATGAGTTTGGCAAGCCAATATGTCAGCCTAACCGCAATACGTCAGAATGAGCAAAACGGTGGAGCCTGCAGGGACTGGTGTAGATCAAGTAACCCATTTGGCATTTCGTCTTATCCTTCTACGCATTGTATACAAAATTCATTCCGTGTTGGTGTAATGATTAGCCTCGTCCTTCAGGCACATACTTGTCACACTAGAGAACAAATGGTAAAAGTAGGGAAATGCGTATTTCACATAATTTTATCACAGGAAAATACCATTACGCACTCTGTTTCCTCGTCTAGAAATTATGTGACAGTTAAGATCCTTGGGCAATCGCAAGCATTTCTATAAGCACACTATGCCTTAATGACACAGCATCAACTGATCATGTGAGCTGAGTGAGTGTATTTGATGCAAGAATAAACAGTGGATCCGACTAGTGTTAAAGACTGGGAAAATCTCCGAAAAGGCGTACATGCTACATATAAGCACATTAATTTGCTTAGTGTGCAAGCAGAGTAAAATAAGATGAAACACAAGTGGTCGTCTCAACTATTCTCGATAGCCATTAAATACATTAGCCATTTTCCACACCATTACAACAAACCAAGAACTTGGAATAGTTTCGCTCTGTTCCGCCTTCTACATATTTAAGATCGCTCGAGAACGCAACATGCATAATTCTAAGGTAAGATTTGCCTTCATTTTATTTCATATCACTTTCTTATTTGCACTTAAGTTTACGCACATTGAGGTCCAATGACCTACACATCTGCGGTGTGGCTGCTCGGTCCACCGCCCCGGGGGCTGTCTGTCACGAGCCTCATGCCGTCCTCTTTATGACGTGACATTGTCGTGATTCTGCTGCTGAGTAATATTTTTAGTCCAAAGCTAGATGAATTCGTGCGACTTCGTGGGGATAGATTCTCGCCTCAGATAAATTAATAATAAACAGTATGGTTTGAAATATGAAACTAAAGGTTTGCACAGCATGCAAGAAATTGATGGAAAAGATATCGTGTAAGTGCGATATGTAGAATTACCTGTGCATAGTGGAATATCAGTGGGGGACCTGCTGGTTTCCTCTTCTGTCATGGTGCCATGATATCCCAAGTGGAACAGCCCAGTTAATTACATTAATCTCAATAATCATCTACTCGCATAGGTCTTAGTTAACTGCTCCTTTATTAGATGGGTTAAGGCAAAATACCATTTCGAATAGTGCGCTTGCTTTAAGTAAGTCAAAAGAAGGTCCAAATCGTCGGCTTGAAAATAGCTTTGTGAATCTGGCATTTTCCTGCTGTTGTTAATATAGAGAAGGCGTGTAAAACTACCCTTCTCAGAGCCTCCAGCAAACAATCATCTCAAAACCTCCAACACCTTTAAAGTAGTACTCTACAGGTCAGTCAAAACCCCGTGGGCGTGACACCTTGATTTGATAGCGATGTGATCTTCAATCCAACGGACATTGTTGAGTGGATAAAGGAATGCTAAACCATAAGTTTCAGAGCTAGGTGACATACTTACATGCATTGCTATGCCATCACTGTATCGACCAACAATTTGTGTAATCTAAGATGGACTATAGTGTCTCACATACTTATAGTAGTCGTACAACACATAAATAAAGACGAGACATCAATCCAAATTTGCTAAACTACGCAGACAGATGGGAGGAATGGGTTTTGGTCGAACACTACCGTAGTGTAATGCTCCTCTTGGCATTAGCATCATACAATTGTCCTCCTCCATTGCTCGACTTACTACGTAGGTGCCCGGATAGAGGTAGCTGAATCGAAACACATCCAGGGGATGGACAGGCTGACCGTTCATTTGATTTTTCGCCTCTTTCTTCACATGAATATCTAAGTAGATGTTCGATTTGAACCCCCAACTGTGACAAACGACGAATTCTCACCGTTCCACAGGCAGTTAAGCTTCAAAGCACTTGGCCATGCGGGCCTGCAAGCAAGTCCTCTGACCCATCATCATCCACTTTATGAGAAGACTGTAAGACGGATTGATTAACCTAGGAACAGGGCAATTGTCACTGTGTTCCACTGGTTTCCCTCGTCAGATTTTAGCGAGGTGTTCGATAGCTGAATGAAGAAGAATTGACAGAGGTAGGAATAGGTAGATGGAAAGACAGACAAGAGCTTCAGATCCATTGGCCTGAAACGCTGTGGGTTGGTGCCATGAGAAAGGTTGCTTAAGAGGGTTGTTGTGAAGGCGGAGTTATTTATGTGGCATACTTGGACGAGATCATCAGGCACACGAATATTTATCATTGCCTCTGATTTCAACTAATCTGTGTAAATGTGCATCTCATGGGCTGTATGGAATGTGAATGCAAACAAACTTTCACCTGAAGTGACAAGGCTTAAACGATCGCCAAGTTGTTCGAGACGAGGCTAGGCGAGTCGATGCCATAAGATACAATGGTGAAAGGCTGGCGTATCACTAGTAAATTAGCCAGTACATAGACTACTGGTACTTCTCCAGTGATACTGCCTTGCATAGATCTAAGAGCAGACATAACCGTGCAGTTAGTACGGAGGTTTGCAAAATAACAGACGAGGAGGAGTCAACCAACCCACCTCTTAAGCTACCACCTAATAAGTATGAAAAACTTAATAGGATTTTTACGTGACTATCTCCTCTTATCTGTGTCATCACCTACACTGTCTACTTTAGAATATGCGCTGCTGGGTCCCCCAACTTAGGTTGGCCAACTACTGCTAGATCATAAAGCCTTTTTCACTGCACAAAGCCAACGCGTTTCTGACGATAGTAAAAACCGTGTGTCTACAGAATAAAAAGATTTTTACAGCGTCGTAAAAATATTTTGTATTGTTCTAGCATTCATGCTCTCACCACACCTATCTGTACTACTGTGTAAGCTTGAGCAAAGTTGTTTACGTAGTTGAAAGCGTATCTACTGCTGAGACGAGATATTCCCTCGGGAATACTTCCTCAGGGTTTAGAGGCATGTTTACACAGACGATAGACTTCGAAGAAGCTTACTTGGCTAAAGAGGAGGATATGCAAGAACACATTGACGACTTGGCCTCACAGTGCACTGAACTTTGCACTCTGCAATTAATCACTCATGCCTCGAATGTCGACAATTTGTCTTCTCTCTCCACCTTACTGTGCATTAATATTTTGGATTTCTGCCCTATTATTTCCCTATTAGTTGAAATTTGAGAAAAGATTATGGAAAGACGTGGAGTTAAAGGCAATTACTAAGAGTAGGAATGAGCCTGGGTCCTGTGGCGAGGCATGGTCATGTTTATGTCGTGTAGAGAAGTGACAAGCGGTGGGGAATGCAATACAGTGGGATGCAGATGCGCGAACTTGCATCAAGTGAGGAGGGCAGTAAGGAAAGATACATGCAAAATAGTTGCTAGCAGAAGGACGATAAAAATGAAAACGAAAAAGATGTGCTGAGAGGGCAAAAGCAGATATAGTTCTTAAGATGCATTGCTTCACTATGTGGAATTTTTTGCCTTCAATTTACTACGGTAGGACTTAGTGAATCTTTAAGATTTTCCAAAGAACGATCGTGGTGCCATCCATTCCGTGAATGGCGCGGCATCAGATATGAAGATACTGGTATTAAGTTCGCCGGAATAGTCTTCAAGCTCTAAAATGATTGCACTTTTACTTTCAATTTATCCAACTTTCCCATTCTTTTGCAGTTTTACTGGAGTTTCACTTAAGTGCAAATCTACTATCAAGCAGAGAGCCGCCAAAAGTGTACTGATAAGTATTCGAAGACAAAGGTGAATCAAAACCTATAAATAAGCGTAAATGAAAATATCAAGCAATTGTGGCACTCCCTTTCATCCAGAGAATCATTCAACCAGCTACCAGGACTGCAGGTGCACTTTGCGCCCTTCATTAGGCAATCATATAAACTGGCAGTTAGGACGTCTATCACACCGGTGTTATCACTGGTGAGCTCTATCACTTTCGAGAACAGCACGGACTTTGAAAAGTGGATGTAATGCTATATTTGAACAGCTGTTTTACCTCTGAAGTCAAGGAGTGCTTAAGAACCAATGTACTCACCCACCTTGGGAAAAGTCGTAATATAGAACACTGAGTAAAAATATTGCTGAACCATCTTAGCTCATCTTGTCGCAGACGAGGAGGAGCACTCTCTCATTAGATACACATCCTATCACTTTGGATTATGAAGGACGGCTATGCGGTGCACCCAATGGACCTATAACTATTAGCAGAATGAGTTTCCCACACTTCTAACTTCGAAGTGTTCTCCGTCGTTGGTGAGGGTAGGAGCCGAAACATAACCACCCTTTCGGAATTCTTGATGTTCATAAAAGGAAATGGTGTTACCGCGATGCCGTATGACGAATTCCGTTTTTACCTCTTTTACCTCGGCTTTCAAGCGATCACACTGAGTAGATGAAAGCATCCGTTATTGGTGGCATTATGTACGGGTAGACTAATTATTGTTACGATAGTTCAAAGTACTCTTTTTCCTCCTTAGCAGATAACATCCGTTCTGTGACATGATTCGTGTTCCTGACCGACACTTACTTACAAGTTCTATTCAAACCAACATTAATTGCGGTTCCAGCATAAAATTTTGCTCATAAAGTACAGAAGCACTGTGAAGTCTCTATTAGTTTGCCTTGCGTCATTAAACATAAGCCTAAATAAGGCAACGCATCACTGCTTGATCCCTTCTTTTTGTCTGTTTTTATCTTCACCGTTGTAGTTTCGACCATCCATTCCAAGCCAAGGTCATCAGTCGACGCATTTAAAATTGGTCGGAGACACATTTGATGCCATCATCGACTATCACTCAGGGAATGTCATAGGAGTCGAGTGTAATTGAGTACAGTAGACTTCTGACACTGTTCACATCTATGAGCCTCAGCGGTGTGCAACTTGTGTGTGACGCTTAATAATTTTACAGGAAGTCTATATGAAAATAACTAATGCTAGTTTGTAAAGGCAGCTGCCAAAGTTGGTAGTAGTTAAATGGTGTATGTCAATTAAAAATAATGTATTGGCCTAAAGTTTTCGATTAAGTAAACCCCGTGAACATGGTTGTGGGTCTCTATCAGGTCCTGGAACAACAAATTTGGCTTGAGCCAAGAGTTCGGTAGCGAGGTGTGAACAGAATTGTAATGATTGGCGATAGTTCGATTTGTGTTGTTTAAATACATCACAAATCACATGGCTACAGTGTAGCAACTTGTCTGACTTCATGCGCAGCAGCGCGAGATTTTTAGACTATACTCAGTAGCATAGTTTTCCCCACTGCCTTCCAATCCTACACTTCGTCAGTGAGTAACATTCCTCTATAGTGAAATGAAATCCAACCACACCTTAAAGCGGTGGGACTAGAGAAACTCCTGATGTTTTTTCGTTGAAAATATTACCATCCAGTTAAGAAAATAGCTCCTGTGCTCCATTCTCCCTCGAAATCCATTCCAGATGTGAACGCTTATCCATTTCACGGCCTCATTCCTCGATCTGCTAATAGTTGTAGGTACTTTGTCTACACTTACTTGTTGAAAGCGACAGAAGAAACCTTTGTCATGTAAGATCTGCCATGGTCTTAATTGTTGACGTCAAGTCGAGCTGAGTTAGTGCACTTTCTTAAAACTTGGTCGTTGAGAATTTTCCAACCTTTAGAGCGGCTAAAAATTGATTCCCAGGAAGACACTTTTGGGCCCTTTCTCTGAGGTGCTGTCAGTTTACGTCAATCCCGCGATAATTGGAGCACCTTTAGCCTTGAGGGAAGAAACAGGCCCTGATCTTTTAACTGTTTATATTTAAACAAAGTAAATAAACAATGCTTTAAAGTTATGATTGTTGCGTCATACAACCAGAGAATGTTTTCATATCAACAGTTTATTGTGTGCATTTTCGAAAATGTTACTAAACTTCTCTTTGTTGCTGCTCTACCATTTTAGTAGTATCATTGGAGTAATTGGTCATTTTATTCGAATTGTGCAGTACACTCTATACTCTGCCACTGAAATTCACGGCATTTTTTGCTGTATTTAGAATAAAACACGCAGTCACTATTTATCGCTCCTTGATGTGCATAACACAAATGGTACGTTTAATATTTCCTAAGTTGTTTACGTCCCAGAATGAAAATGTGGATAGGGATATTACCCTTTAGCACAGAGAGGGAAATTTGCAGGTCATAAGCATTGTAAACTGCTTCAGGTCTCAAAGACCGAATTCCTTCTCATGAAAATGCTTGTGCTTTCCGCCTATTCTCTGCAAACAAAGAACAGCGTGCATTTATTAAACTTTACCTCGAACAAATCATGCCAATCATAAAGTGTACATGCTGCTTGATACTTTTAAACCATTTGTTTTAGTAAATCAAATCAAAGCAAATCAAATTCGTTTTTAGTAGGCGGATATTCTTTGCATGATGTCGAAATAAATAATGAAAAGTATTTGCTTCAAAAGCAATAAGATTAATGGCTACAATAAGAGTAATGGGGCATGGGAAGTCAAATCAATTATTAAATGAGAAAACAAAGTCTCTAATAGTATTTGCGTGTGGTAAAATAATGGAGATACTTATCTTCTCAATTCTACCACGCC